AGCCATCCTTACTTTTTCTTCCCATCCTCCTTAGAGGCACAGTCCCCAGCAAGAGTCAGGTGGGGGTTCGGTCTAGGTGGCCTTGAGACTAGAATACCGCCTTGACTCTGGAAACCAGCCAGCTGGCACAAACACCCATCTCCTGGACATCACCCCAGGATTCCAGCCAGTCTGTTCCCCCAGCACACCCGGAACAGACTGGCCAGACTGGTATTTCTGGGTCCCCACCACCAGGGGTGTGGCCTCCAACAGTGCAGCAGCCCCACCTGAGAATGATCCGAAGGTACTCAATGCCCTCGGCCTCCTCACACTTGATGGACAGGAGCAAGTTCCCCAAACTGCTGCCAGTACAGTAAAAGTTTAGATGATCCTAGAAACAGAAATAAAGTGTTAGCAGGGAGTGGGGGGATCTCCCAAGCATTAATCCCCAAATCACTTCTTCCCCATAAGTGAGTGGGAAGCCCCACAGCAAGGGGGAAGAGAGGGAAGCTACTGCTGTGGCTGCAACTGAGGAGGAGGAGGAGGAAGAAGGGGAGTGGGGAGGGGAAGAGGATCACAGTAATTGGTTCTAACTGCCAAGTCCTCAGGATATGTCAAGCACTAGGCTAAGAACTCAATACCTATTATCTCCTTTAACCTAGATCACAACGTTATGGGGGAGATAACATCATCATCATCCCCATTTCACAGATGAGGAAATCATGTTCAGGGAGGTTAAGTAACTGTCCAGGGTCACACAACTAGTAGATGACAGATCCAGGGTTCAAACCCACATCTGTTGTGACTGAAGTTCAAGTTCTTCACCACAAGATACCGAGTCTACTTCCTTGCTCCCAGGGGGCAGCCCCTGCCACTTCAGACTATATGCGAGAATAAAGCTAGGAGAAACCCTAGCACATCACTCCAAGTGGAACAGGGAGGTCTATGGACAGTGGGTCTCACCCTGGCTCAGGTAGCCCACCTCAGACCTGCCGTATCAGGCTGGGGCCCTGGAGTCTGCATTTTAACAAGCTAGGAGTGAGGGGTCCTGATCCATCCTCTTCCTGTGAGATTCAGCAAAGCTGCCTTAGTCTGGAGACTTCCAGAATCTGCCTTGGGACTTCCAGAACCTTGCAAGTCTGAAGGGCAGAATATATTTAAAGAAATGTAACTGTCACTGTTAAGCAATCAGAGAGGCTCACGGGACATCATCCAGTACAAGTACCCGGGGGACCTTCTTGAGCGAAGACATGAGAGATTCGCGTTATTTAGATGGAAATGGAGAACATAATTTTTCCTTCCACCCTCCTTCACCCTCAAACACTACCCCTTCCATCACCTCCTAGAACATTTGCTCATGGTGGTTCCCACAAGGACCCATCACAGAGAGCCTTCCAGATATCTGCATGCCCCCTTTCCCCCTGCCCAGGAGCACAGGCAGTCGGCCATCTCCAATGAGGACAGAGGCAAGCAGCAAGGACGGGGGCAGAACCAGGAAGGAACAGAAACAGAGAGGGGCACTGGGGAGGGTCGCTGGGCTCCTCACACAGTCCCACTCCGGCAGCTATTTTCACCCAGGGCCCCTTGGCCTCACCTTCCCTAGGAAGTGCCTGCGGTAGGCCCTGGCTTCGCCTTTGCACTCAAGCTTGTAGCCGAAGGTGCTGGGGCTGAGGTTGTCCTCTTCCTCCTCCTCACAGGTGCTGCTTCCCAGGGAGGTTGGTGTGCCTACATTCTCTGGGTCCTCGATCCAATAGCCCCCAAACTGGGGCAGGACGATCAGGGGGTATGGGCCTCCCTTCTCCACAACCTGGAAGCAGAGGGAAGGCCTCACACTGCAGTCTGTCCTGGGTCTGCAGGGGTAGGGGAGGGGCAACAGTGGTGATGTCCCCTGACCTCTGAGCTGCCCCAAGAAGGGGGCCCCAGTATGTGAAGCCAAAGACAGTAACAGGAACCCCTCCTTTAAGTTCCACAACATTTCTGGCTTCACCAGCCCTGTAGCCCCAGGATTTCAAGGACCAGATTGGCACCCTCCAATTTAAACCTGGAAAAGCCAAGGTCACAAAGGGGAAGAGGCCTCAGGCCCTAGGTTCTCTTCCATGTGGGGTGGGACAGGGACCGTCATCATCATCGCCATCAGCTTTCCCAGCCTTGCCTCAGAGACAGGATTCAGGGGGTTCCTACCTCGTCGATGCTGGGGTACGGGATATAGTCATCCTGCAAGACAAACAAACAATGCCATCTTTAGTCCCAGCAGTGCCCATGAAGTGTGATCACTGTTTCCATTCCCTCTCCCCAACCTGGGGAGGGGGTACATTGGGGAGTCCGGCAGTTTGCACCAGGGCTTTGTGAGCATCGGCAGGAAGAACACCAGATGGACAAACAGCCTACAGGCAGCTCTGGGATCTGGCTTCTCTTGAGTCCTTCCTCGAATTGACAGAACCTGAGTGCAAACCAGCCAGCCAAAGATGCAACACACAGAGGAAGCAAGATGCAGTATGAACTTCGTATCCCTTCTGACACTAGCTTCTCACCTTTGGAGGCTCCAATAAAAAGCTGACCCCTGGTTTCACCCAGCCCCCAGGAAAGGGGGCTGACTTCCAAGTGACGAACTGCACCCCTGGGCCTTGGAAATAGCCCCTGAAGCTGAAAGTTGATGCCTGCTGGATCCTGGAGCACAGAGCCTGACACCCCTAAATGCTGTGTGTGGTTCCCTCACAGGAGCGGGTGTGGACGATCCAGGCGGAGCCAGAAGCCTTAGGTCTTTCCTAAGGCCTCCACCCCGCCTCCTCTGAAACTGCTCTAAAGGCATCAAGCCAGGGCCCCGCCTTACTGCCAACCATGTCCCAGTCAATACACAGGCAGCCACTTATGTGGCTCTTGGTGAAAATCAGAGTTAGTGTAAAATAGGAGACTCCAGCATGCCATCCACTACACTTGCCTTCCTCTTACTCAGCCCCCTCATCGGGCCTGCCTGGCTAACACCTCTCCCACCCAGCCCACCTTGTTCTTCTGGGGTCCCGGCTTCTGCTCTTCAAGCTTGATCCCCTGCAGAAACAAGGAAAAGAGGATCCATAGAAAAGCAAGGGTCACAAAAAAGAGGCCGAACGAAGGAGTCCCTTGGGAGCACCTGCCTTAGCTGCGGGTTAATAACAACAGGAACAGCTGCTGTGTACTGGGGCCCTTACACGTCACATACCTTGTCATCCCCAGACCTTATAGCAGCCCAGACGAGACAGCAGGGCAAGGGCTAAGAGCATAGACTCAGCCAGATCAGCAGGGTTCAAATCCAAACACTGCCACTTATGACCTTATGACCTTGGGCAAGTCATAAACCTCTCTGTGGCTCAGTGTTCCCATCTGCAAAATGGTAACACTGTGGCACCTACTACAGTAGTGAAGGTTAAATGACAGGACCTTGCTAAGCCCTTGGAAGAGTGATTGGTCTATAGCAGGGGTCCTCAACCCCTGAGCGGCAGACTGGTACCAGTCCATGGCCTGTTAGATACCGGGCTGCACAGCAGGAGGTACCCAACAGGCAATCGGGTAAAGCTTCATCTGTATTTGCAGCCGCTCCCCAGTGCTAGCCTCACCACCTCAGCTCCACCTCAGATCATCAGGCATTAGATTCTCATAGGAGCACCAGTCCCTGGTGCCAAAAAGGTTAGGGACCGCTGGTCTATAGTAAAAGCTAGGAGTTATTATTTCTACGAGGTAGGCAGTATTACTATCCTGGTGCTAAAACATTTCCCCCAGGCTCGCTGGGGGATGAGGGGAGGGGCAGAATGGGAACCCATGTCTATGCGGGCCAGAGCCAGCACTCTGGACCTCACGCCACACCTCCCTCCCTGGATTACAAAGGTTCGCCTGCAGGTATCCAGAAATTTCACTGCTGGAGCACAGTGCCTTGTCCAGTGGTCTTACAGTCAAGTTGACTTAACTGGGTTTTGTGGGACGAGAGCACATGGTGGTCCCAGGATTACTTGAATCAATCCAATGAGAGTATGAGATGGTGGGACAACTAGGAGGAACAGGTCCCCTCTGGGGAGAGGAGAGTTTGGAAACAGCGCTGCCTAATTATAATACAGTGGGATTTGAACCTTCTACAGTGAGCTCCCTCTGTTGTCTCCTTTGAAGCCCTCAGCACCTTTTGCCAATGAGGAAACTGAGGCCCAGGGAGCAAGTTGCTCACCTAATGTCACACAGCTAGTGAGTGGCAGGGCCTGAATTTGAAGTCAGGCCTTCTGTCGACCAAATGACAGGACCTTGCTTTGAAGCCAGGACATCTGACCACACCCGACAGCCCTCAGAGCCCAGGGCTCCTGCTCACTGGATGGATTTAGACTTCAGCTTCTCAGGATTTCTCCAGGCTGAGTCATCCTGCAGCGTTGTTCAGGTGGGCATGGGAAGGCCCGTCCCACTGGACAGGTGCTCCTCTCCCCACACAGAGAGAAAACCACCTGGGTGGCCCTACAGACCTTGTCCAGGGAGGCAAACTGGGCAGATGGGGAGAGGGGTGATATCAGGAGTTTGTTTTATTTGTCCTGCATTAGTCATCCCAGCCTGGGAACAGCCCCTGGGCAGGAAAACAAACCTTCTCCCCACCCTCCCCCATGACAGAGCCACCGCCCAGCACTGGGCCCTTTCCCTTCCATGTGTCAGCCTTTGTAATAGGTATTATCATTATCTCCCCTTCCCCTGCCATGAAGACACTGAGGCTCAGAGAGATAGACTGACTTGACCAAGGACACTCAGCTAGAGAGCATCAGGGTTAGAACTTGAACTCAGAACAGAAGGAGCTCAAAACTGTGCACTTAGCCCTTGCTGCTTCACAGGGACTGCACCCCTCTTCAAATTCGTAGACTCTTGGGCTGGGGGTTCAGGAGTCCTGGATTTTAGTTTCAGCGACTCGCAACTCACAGAGCACCCTGGGCACCCGACTGCTGAGCCTGAGTCTCCACAACTGCAGCATTAGGACAGATGGCACTCACACTCAAGGACAGAATTGGGCCACACCACCCGCTTCAGCCTCGCTGGTTCCCCGTATGTGAGTTTCCTATATTCAAAGGAGTTGGAAACCGTGGGCCCCTCAGAGGCTGGGGCCCAGTGGGCACATGGTAGAGACCTAAACCCTGGGAAGTCCGATTTCAGCCCCCAGCAGTCTCAACTAAGATGGAACTGGCAAACCACCCATGGTGTCAGTACTATGGAAACAGTGCTAAGGGAGCAAAATACCAAGCTCCTGCCCTCCAGAGGCTCCCAATCTAGTTACCAAATTAAGCCCAGCAGCCTCAAAAAAACAGAATAACATGAAGCCAGTTAAGCTGAGCTGAATTATGTGCTCAAACAGAGAAGCCCTTTGTGGGGAAAGAAGCACACTCCAGCTGGGGACGAGGGATGGATGGATTGTGGGAGCAACCAGGGAGAAGGCAGGGTGAGGACCGGGTGAGCCACAAAAACTCTGCCAGCTTCCCAGAGTGCTGGGATTCCATGGGCTTGGGGTGAAAATCCCAGCTTTACTGCAGACAACTGAGAACTTAATTATACACGGTCTCCCGCCACTCGATGTCAAGGCACGTGCCATCCCTGTTTCCACAACCTGATTGGGTGTAAGTTCCCTAAATGGATATAAATGCATATGAAATTAGTTTGTAGTCCACACACTACTGAGGACAGAAGAGAATCTTTATACCTTGCTCATGAAAATGATACAACCTCTAATATTTTTCCCTCGAACAGTCCCTCCCCTTCCCCATCCTCAGGGAGACCCAGCTTTCCCATGAGGACCTCACTCGCTCACAGTAGCAGCCCCCTCAGCAGCTGCACCTGCATCTCAGGACCAGAGTGGGCACCTTCCAAGTCTCTCCTCCTACAGCTTCCAGACCATGCCTACAGAATCTTTCTTCCTTGAGCCTGGAGCCTCTACTTAGGGTAAAAAATATCATAATATAATGAACAGCTAAGCCTTCTGGCTCTGAAGCTACTTGTTAGTCATGAGCCCTTATATTGATTATCACTGTGCTTCTGTTTTCTCATCTGTGAAATGGGGATGATAATGATAATATACCTACTTCCCATGGGCCTTGTCAGGAAGAAATGAGATAAAACCTGTCAATCTCTGACCCCAGACAAAAGTATGTGTTATCAGCATCTTCCCAATCTTTTTGACTGTGTTGATTAACCTTCTGGATCTCTCCCCATATTCCCTAGGGCAGTAAGTTTTACCTGTGAGCCCTGACCCCTTGGTAGAATTACAAAGGCTCCCCAAATCCACATTGAATACTGATTTCTTTTCATTGCCTACCAAATATTTACACATATTATCTCATTTCATCCCAGCAACAATGTAAGTGGATATTTTTATTCTTACTTATTTATAGAGGCTGTGATATTGTGATTTATAATAAGAAATATATATTTTGGTCTTCATCCCGTCCTTGGCACAGAACTCCTAAAACCCTTGGAATTTCCTACATGATAAGAGCAATCGAAGCATTTTGGAACATTTTTGTTACAGTATTTGGCCTTTTGCCCTTGGCTCCTGAAACAGCTTCAGAGCCATAAAGGTGAAAGGAATGTTATTCATAAGTTTATGTTAATGATTTTATGTTGACGAGGTGACTTTTGGGATATCCCTAAGGATGGAAGCTGGTCAACAGGGGAACCAATCACTATTAGAGAGTTGGAACTTTCAGTCCCACCCACCCCCAACCTCCCAGGAGGGAAGAGAGGCTGGAGGGTGATATCAATCACAAGTGGCCAGTGGTTTAATGAATCATATCTATGTAATAAAACCTCCATAAAAGTCCAAAAGGACGGGGTTCACAGAGCTTCTGGGTTGGTGAACATGTGGAGGCACTCAGAGAGTGGGGTGTCCGAGGGCACGGAAGTTCCAGGTCCCTTCCCGCACACCTTGCCCTATGCATCTCTTTATTCTGGATGTTTCTGAGTTATACCCTTTTATAATAAATTGGCGATCTAGAAGGAAACTGTTTTCCTGAGTTCTATGAGCCACTCTAGCAAATTAATCACACCGGAGGAAGGAGTCATAGGAACCTCCAATTTATAGCCCGTGGGTCAGAGGCACATATGACAACCTAGACTTGTAACTGGCATCTGGGGCAGTCTTGTGGGACAGAGCCCTTATCCTGTGGGATTTGACGCCAACTCTAGGTAGATAGTGTCAGAATTGAGTTGAATTGTAGGACATCCAGTTAATGTCAGAGAATTGTTTGGTGGGGAAAAAAACAACCACGTATTTGGTCTGAGAGTGAGGTGAGAATAGTGCTGTAAGCAGACAAAAAACAGGAGCCAGAGACTTAGAAAAGAGAAGTAATTTGGCAAGCAAATGTTAGATGCGAGATTTGAACTCAGGTCCGTCTCTCACCGGCCTCTCTGCCTCCCAGACACAAGGTGACTTTCCTAAAAAGGGTCTTTCTTTTTCAGGCTTTCTTTCCAACTCATTCTAGGTACAACAGACCCTCTCAAGCCCTCCCCACATCTGTGGGGTTGATTGATGGCACCCCATCTGCTCTGCTGGGGGTTGTTTTTCATCCTCTCCCTGTTCTTCAGGCAGGAGCCTTTCCCAGAGTCCTCTGTGCCACTCAACATGGAAATGGCCTCAGGTTGTCTGGGCTATCAGGGCTGTGAGTTTTCTCTTCCCTGCCCCTCCCTCCAAGGCCCCCAAATTCTGTCTGTGGGTTCTGCCTCAGGTTATGTTCCCCAAGGTCACTACAGCACCCCCAATCAAGGCTCAGCTTCCCTAGTTTTGGGATACTCACCTGCATTTTCTCCAGCATCTCGAAGAACTCCGCAGACTGAAAGATACAAAGAGGGTGGGGAGAGAGGTGGGGCATCAGCAAAGAGATCTGCTGAGAAAACCTCCTCACCGACTGTCTAGAAGCTAAACCCAGGGCTTCCCCAGGGACAAAATTCATCTGGATCAAGAAAGAAGATCATTTTATTTTGCCTTTGCAGGGCTGGAGGGCCAGAACACACCACACAACAAAAGAAAAAATAAAACAGCCCCAGCTGGCAAATGGCCCTGGGGAGAGCAGCCACTCAGTCTCTGTCAAGAGAGAGGAGGCTATAGAGCTCCTGGGAAAAGTCAAGTTCCCCCAAAACGCCTGTTGGCCCCAGGATTCGGCTTCCAGCAGGACTGTGTTTGGGATGTTTTCAACCCAACAGTGGGGCCAAGAGGTCCACCACAAGTAGTTTTCCAACTGTTGTGCCAACATAGCCTTTCCATCTCCTTAAACAAAATCTCGCTTAGAATTCCAATATATAAAAACAGAAAAAGCAGAACCACACTGGCCAGGGCAGCTGTCGGGGCTTGAGCCCTGGATGTGCCACCTCTGCCTGCCCCTGTCCCCTGCCTCCAAGGCACCTCTTTGGGACACTATAGCTTGTGAAGCAAAGCCTAAAAACCTCCAGGAGCCTGAATGGGTTATTTTAAAAATCTCAAACTATGTAAGTCCAAACCTTCAACCTACTGTAGTGCCACCTTTGTAAACTCCAGATAAGACAAAGAGGGAAAAAAGAAAGTAGAATGGGTGAAGGGGCTGAAAGCTTTACCCTAACAAAATACATGCAGAAGTCCCTCAGACCTTTTCCCCCAATTCCTGTTCCATGAACACAGGCACACTTTGTTGTCCTAACACCATTGCCCATATCTGGGCACTGGCAAGTTATGAGTTAATAAGTGCCCAGAACGGACAGTACCCAGATGAATATGAGAGAAAAGAAAGCAGTGATAAGGATGACCGAGTATGTCCTTGCTACTTCTTCATGCAGAAGTAGAACGTCCAAATGCTCTCCCTCTCTCTGTGGGCACCAATGATCAGAACTGTCTGGAGCTCCTGCTGCCCTCAGAATTCTCAAAAGAGAACCTCCATGGGAGGGACCCTTGAGGAGTCACCTGGGGAGACCTAGCCCTGCTGCAGCTCCAAATGACCTCTCCCAGACTAAAGCTAGCCTGTCACAGGCAGAGTCTCTGACTCACCAGCAGTTCAGGTTCCAAAGTCTGGAAACTCCACATGTGATTGTACAGGGTTGAGGACAAGCTTGGGGCACCCACATCAAACACCCTTGACCAAGAGCAGCCACCAAACACCCAGGTCCCAAACCTATCTTTGCACTTGTTCTGTGCATTCTTACAAACTCCAGTCTCCAAGAAACCAAGATTACTAGACACAAAGCAATAAGGCTAGAAAGATGAGCAGAAAAAGTACAAAGGGGTAAAAACAATCAAAATTTTAAATATACAGACCTCTGATCTAGTAATTCCACTTCTAGGGATCTACAAACACACTCACACATGTACACAAAGATAGACACAATAAAATGTTCATTGTCGCATTGTTTGTAACAGTAAAAAAATGAAAATAACTTAAATGTCAATCTATAGGAAACTGGTTATAGTAAGCTACACTCATAGAATAAATACAAATATTACGATCAACTCTGTATCAATAAATTAGATAACTCAGATGAAATGGTCAATTCCTAGAAATACACAAACTATCAAAATTGACTCAGGAAGAAAAGAGAAAATCAAAAAAAGACCTATAATAAACAGATTGAATTAGTTTAACCAAAAAACTACCCACAAAGAAAAAACCAGGCCCACGTGGTTTCACTTATGAATTCTACCATTTAAAGAAGAATTAATACTAATTCCTCACAAACTCTTCCAAAAACAGAAGAGGGAACACTTCCTAACTTATCCCATGAGGCTAGTATCATCCTAACACCAAAATCAAAGACATTACAAGAAAACTACAGACCAATATAGCTTACGAACATAGTCGTAAAAATTCTCAACAAAATAGTAGCAAACTCAATCCAATAACATATAAAAAGAATTACACATCATGACCAGGTGGGATTTATCCCAGTAATGCAAGGTTGGTTTAACATCCAAAAATCAATAAATGTAATACACCACATGAATAGAATAAAAAACAAAAACCACATTATCGTCCCAATAGACATAGGAAAAGCATTTGAAAAAATCCAAAATCCTTTGTGGATTAAAAAAAAACACCCAACTAGGAATAGAAGAGAAGTTCTTCAACATATAACGTATACCTACAAAAACCCCACAGCTAATATCATACTTAATAATGAAAGAATGGATACTTTTCCCATAAGGAACAAGACAAGGATCTCCACTTCTTCATTTTTATTTAACATTGTACTGGATGTTCTAACCAGAGCAATTAGGCAAGAAAACTATATAAAAGGCATCCAAATTGGAAAGGAAGAGGTGAAACTATATTCACAGATGACACGATCTTATATATAGAAAATCCTAAGGAATTCACTAAAAAAACTTTTAGAACTAATATAAGTTTAGCAAGGTTGCATGATACAAGATAAATATATAATAATCAATTGTATTCCTACACACTGTCAACGAACAACCCAAAAATAAAATTAAGAAGACAATTCCAGTTACAATAGCATCAAAGAGAATAAAATACTTAGGAAGAGATGGGAAAAAAATGGCGTAGATCAGAGAGGCTTTGTTCATTCCTCTTGCGACTATATCAAAGTTGTGACAAAAACACAGAGGAAACAGCAAGGAAAGTCACCTGGGCTCTAGACAAACAGAAGTACTACAACTAGGGAAAAGAAATAATCAACCTGCAATGGTAGAAGGTAGGAGGTGATGAAGACATGAGGCTTCCCAGTCCCGAGCGGCTGAGTGGTTCAAAGGCTGTGGCAACCAGCAGCTGCAGATGCCTCTAAAAAGGGCCATGTCCCTGAACGGACTTTCACGGTGATGGACTTGCTCTGAGAACCAGCACTGGGTTGGCTGCACGGGAGGCACCAGGGACTTACAGGGGGACACTGAGTTATCAGAGTGAGGGCCAAAGGTGAGGCTCTCTCCTAGGCAGAAGTGCCAGCAGTATCCATTGTTCTTCTGTTGAGCCCTCCCCCTTCCCAGTGTGCAGACACAGTACCATCACAGCTGAGACGTCATCAAACTGGATAACAGAGGTCACTTGCCCAGAGGATTCCTGAAACTCCGCCTCCCCCAACTCAAGGCCCCACCCAAGCCACATCCAGCTGTGTCCTCAGGGAGTCCTGTGAAACTTGCTGAGCAACTCCAAGAGCTACACTGGTGGCAGCTGACCACAGTTTCTGGTGTGGCCTCTTGACGCAACTATAAGCACAGCATCTGTGGATTGTTTGCTGAATCTTAACAGGTGGCCCCAGAGGAGCACAGACTGGGGCTAAAAACTTGGCCTGCAGCTGAACCCCTCTCAGGACTGTGCCACTGGACATCTACTACACAAAGCCATGCTAATAAGACTGGAAGACTTAGGCGCTTTGCCTAGTACATAGAAATAGACACAGAAAGGCAGCCAAAATGGGAAGACAAAGAAGCAAAAACCATATGAGAGAACAGAACAGAGATCCAGAAATAATGGAGTCAAGCAATCTAACAGATGCAGAGTTCAAAACACTCGTTATAAAGATGCTCAATGAACTTAGTGAAAGTGTAGATGAATTCAGTGAGAACTTTAACAAAGAGATAAAAAACAAAAATAAATATGGAAATTATAAAAGGGAATGAGTCAAAAATGAAGAACATATTATCTGAGATGAAGACTACATTAGAGGGAATCAACAGAGTGGATGAAAAAGAGGATCGAACTACCAACATAGAGGATGGGGAAGCCAAGGTTATCCAATTAGAATGGCAATAAAAAAGGAGACAAGACTATGATAATAATTTAAGGAGTCTTTGGGACAAAATTAAGTGTAAAAAATCCATGTAATAGGGGTACCTGAAGAGGAGAAGGAGAACAAGAAGTGGAAAAGCTGTTTGAAGAAATAATGACCTTCCTAACCTTCTGAAGGAAATAGACATACAACCCTAAGAAGCTCGGAGAGTCCCAAGAAAAAGGAACCCAAAGAGGCCCACACCAAGACACACCATAATTAAAATGTCAAAGCTTAAATACAAAGAGAGAATCTTAAAAGCAGCAAGAGAAAAGCAGTTAGTTACCTACAAAGGAGCACCCATAAGACGGGCAGCTGATTTCTCAAAAGAAACCATGCAGGACAAAAGGGCTTGGCACGAAATAGTCAACATGATGAAAACCCAGGATCTACAACCAAGAATACTTTATCCAGCAAAGCTATGATTTAGAGTCGAAGGACAGATAAAGAGCTTCCCAGACAAAAATAACCTAAAGGAATTCCTCAATGCCAAGCCACTATTACAGTAAATGTTGAAAGGACTTCTTCAAGGAAAAAAAATGCATCAAAAACATGAATAAAGAATGATAATAACTACATTCCTATCATCAAGTACCTCAAATGGAAAAGAATTAAGTGCCCCAACCGAAAGATAGAGTGGCTGAATGGATAAGAAAAAAAGAATCCTACATATGCTGCCTACAAGAGACACACTTCAGATTAAAAGACACACACACAGACTAAAAGGAAGGGGATGAAAAAAGATATTGCCTTGATAGCCCTAGAAGGTATTGCGCTGAATGTCAGATAGAGAAAGACAAATATTGCATGATTTCACGTACATGTGGAATCCATAGAACAAAATAAACAACAACAACAAAAACAGAAATAAACTCATAGATACAGAGAATATTTACAGGGATACTAGATGGGAGGAAAGTTGGGAGGGGAAAAGGCAAAGGGATTAAGAAGTACAAATGGATAGTTGCAGAATAGACATGGAGATGTAGAGTGTAGCATGAGGAAGATGGTTAATAATGTTGTAATAAATACGGAAGGGGAGAAGGATATTAGATTTAGTGGGGTGATCATTTTGTGAGTTATG